CTTCTAATCCTATACGCCATTTGCACGTGCCCTCCATGTCATTGTGATTATACATAGAATATTTATCAGACGGACTGAGTACACATTTAAAACAACTAGATTTGAAGTAATCTAACCAACTGGACTTGAGACAATCTAACCAGTACAAAAATTGTACTCCCGTGTACCACACAGGCCTGTCAAGGTGCTTAATGTGATCCAGAAACAGCAGCAACTAGCTATGTTTGCGCTAACTGGCTTGATATTTAAGTTTCTAGGACTGAATGATAAGCTGAGTAATATGTGATGACTAACACAACATAAGGGAGAGCGCAAAAGCTCCTTGAAAGCCCCATCCCATGCCAGCTGAAAATCAACAGAGTGCACTACAAACATGTCTGCAAGCGACCAAACTACACCCATAAGGGTTAATGGCAATGGGCTTGGCGCTCTTACTTCCATCAGCAATCAGCCGTCTTCCCCTTCCCCATGCTAACAACGACCACAACACGGCAGTTACGGATGCGCGATTACGCTGCACCGTCGGCACGCCGTCCAGCCCGAGTCACCGACCACGAGAGTCGCGCGCGCTGCTGTCAATCACGATACCTTATCTGGCATCCCAGTCACTCCCCGCCAGACAGCTGCCAGAATCTCAGTCACTCCCCACCAGACAGCTGCCGCCATCTCAGTCACTCCCCGCCAGACAGCTGTCAGTAGTCCTGAGACTCCCTGAGCAATCCCACTTGCGGCCGGCCGCAGATCATCCCAGCAGGCCCAGCAAGTCTGCCAAGTTGATCCGTCAATACCGCCGAGAGTGCGGAAGATGACGTAGAGACGGTGGAGGCGGTAGCGGTCGCGGAGGCGGCAAATGACGCAGAGGCGCAGAGGACGCGGAGGCGGCAGAGGTGTAAGATGACGCAAAGGCGACATAGGTGGCAGGGGTGGCAGAGGTGGAAGATGACGCGAAGGCGGCAGAGGCGGCAGAGGTAGCAGAAGCCGCAGAGGTCGCGGAGGTTGCAGAGGCGGCAGATGCAGCAAAGGCAGCAGCGGTCGCAGAGGCGGCAGATGCAGCAAATGCAGCAGGGGCAGCAGAGGCGTAAAGGACGCAGAGGCGGCTGAGGACGGGCCACTTTGGGACCGATGTCGAGCGAACGATCACCTCATCCAGACACAGTGAGGACTCGCAGACCGCATTGAGGTAGAGGCTGAGCACCAAGGGGGGGGGGGCAGAGGGGGCAGCTGTCGCCCCTTCTGGTATTCAGGGGGCAAGAGCATGTTTTCCCCTTCAAAATTTTTGTGAGCCCCCTTTTCCTCGATTTATTGCGGTGTAGCTATCCATAGACTGCCAAACTTCAGATCAAGGAGGCTCCCGTAATTGAGCTAGGGGGTAATAAATTGTCTCAAGTGGCTCTTTTCTACATCAAGAGACCAGTGTTCAGGATCATGAGCTCATCTTTATGGATAAGGTAGCCAATGTTAACAAAGTAAGCCCCTTTACTGTCTCAGAAGACCTCTGTCACCAACTAGGAGGCCCCCGTTAGGGGGTAGGAGGCATCCTCTCTATTTAGGAGGCCCCATTTCTGGAACAGGAGGCCCTCTCATGCATCAGATTATGGCGGTTACCAATCGGGATACCCTGTTTTGGGATAACGAGGCCTACTGGCTTAATTTGGAGGGCTGCTACGTGGGTCGGAAACATCTTTTCTGGATTTGGAGGCCCTATATTCATCAGTGGACCCTTTTCTGGAAGGGGGGTGTTGTTTTAGGATATATAGACCGTTTGCTGGATAATCAGCTGGCCTCATTTTGGGCGCTTCAATTGTCGGCATTTCCATTTTTGAATGTGATGCATGCAACCACTTTATAATGAAGTGCATGACCTCGTTACCCCTCATCCTACAATATGGCGCTGGCCAGGGGCCTCCCTCTCTCCCTTGTGAGAAAGTCCCATTTTGTTCAGGAGGCCCCTGGAAAATCTTGCCCCAAACCCAAGTTCCGTGACGACACCCCTACATGGAGGCTTTATGCCGTATGAGAAAACAGAACCTATGATCATAAAGCACACGCCAACTTCAGCAACCAAAGCGTTCATAGTGCACCTAATGATGAGGGAACATCTCCGTTGTATCAGGCTTTTGCACGTCCTAAGGTTAGTTTTGATATCAGCCTTCACGGCAAGCAGTGACACCGCGAAATCAGGCATGCTAGGAATGGCCCTCTCGACAGAATGAGCAAAACACCTGGAATTTGGTGCCGCATCACCCACAAATAAATTATGGAATTGAATCTCTTCCATCGAGGTCAAGTTACTGTTGTACGATTGCCAGTAGGCTGCGCAGATTGCCCTAGACGTCCCATGGGGCATTGTCAAGATTGGAACGGTGGCCTTCAAACCTCGGTTTGAAAATCTTAAAGGACCAAAGCTTGAGTCATTGAGCTTTATTGGCCGGGCTACGTGAAAAGAGAGAGAAAAGTCATAAGGAGACGTGACAAAATTGTGGAGACCGAAGGCCAATATCAATTGCAGGCATGCATACTTAGTTCTGGGAACGATGACACAGATCGCTCTAAAGGCTTCGTCACTGAATTTGTCCCGTATCCATCCTAGAGATGCAACATACCTATTATGCTACTGAATGTCGTGTCCTGGATCAAGTCAGGTGCCATGAAAACGAACAGCAAAGATGCCAGACGGCTAACGCTAAATCATGCAGCTCTGTTCTCTGAGCTTATACGGCAGGCCGCCACGGAACCCCGTCAACCGAAACATTATCGCCGATGTTCCAGAAAATTCCGAGCATTACCTTCAGCCATAACAGCTGCATACTGTAAAGACCTGCATACTATAAGCGCGTGCTGGGACCGATCGCCACTAACATTTCTCAAGCACTCAATGATGTTGCAACAACAAAGTGAGACGTGGGGCTATTCGGAGTACGAAATTGGACTGTGGCTGGGAGACGCCTGAGTCCGACCGGATTATAGTCCGCGCGAAAAAGTTTGTTTTTCTGACTGGCACGACCCCCGCCTGTCCCCGGACGGCAGCCACAAATTCATTTCCACTGACGGCGCGCGCGCTTCCGAGGGTAGAGGCCCAGCAGAGTCTTTGGTTGACAGACTGGAGCAAATCATCCCATAGTCCAGACCACACGGGTGATGCGGGTAATGTTCACTGCTCACGCAACGCGCAATGCTTGTAGAAGACTGTGACGCCAGCGCTCTTCAAGCAATCGCTCATGCGACCAAATCTCCCAAAAAGATACGCAGGATTCACCTGTCAGCTGCGCAGCAGACTGTCAGCCCCACAACTGTCGAGGACTCCCGCAAACGCACGCCAGTATACATGCATCTCTACGTATTCCAAACGAGATAGCTAACACTGCAGACACGTTACCTGAGTGTGCCCAGTGCACATCTCATTGTACACGAGGTGCGATAGTCAAGGCTGATAAATGGGAAAAACAAAGCCCTAATGTGGCTTCCATAAGCCGGTCCTGTTGTAGATTCCATCGAGTCATTAGATTCTTTTCCGTGTTTTTTTTGTGATGGATACCTGGCGAGAGGATTCCCAGAAACGCACGCGCCGCACAAGAAAAACGCTTGCAACATAGGCCAACGCCTCCAAACAAGATATGCGATCCAATGTGTGATAAAGCTGGGAATGGGCACGGCGACGTGCGCGCGCGTGAGCGTATGCGTGTGTGTCTATCATTAGGCCTTGAAAGCGGGACATTAATGACGCTCGCGGTTCTATATGATGCCAGTGGGCATAGTGGCATTGTGTTGAAGAAATGTAATGGGCTTAGCTGTTTGTGTTGGCGCGCTAGGCAAAGAATCTAAGGCATGTAATGCGGCGTGAAGGTAACGGAGACAACGGTTAACGATAGACACAGCGCACCATGACCACATTGCCAGCTCAGCCCTATATGAAGCCGACATTCGCAGATCTAAACGACTGTCCATTCTGACAGCATCCACTGAATAGCAGTCAGGGAAAACACTGCAAAACGTTATCCCAAAGAAGGAAGTGCACGTCAGAGGTGCTGATATCATCCCAAGGGCAGTAGTGTTTAAGCCTTTTGCCAGGGAATCGCCTCCAAAATATGGATCACATAACAGACTTACCGTACAATTTGAGCCAACGCAAAATAAATACAAAACAGATGCTAGAAACTCGGCGAAGTGGTTTCTCGCAAACACCACAGGTGTCGCAACATTCCCTAATGCAAGGGTCATAGCCTGAAAATGATGGTGATAAAATGTTCTCTGAAGTACAGAATCATCATCCAAATAGACGGCTTGCCGAATGTTTCTTAGAACCTTTTGGGAACATCATTCGGACAGCATGAACGCTTCGCAAATAAATAAAGCAAAACGTGTGATGGTAATTTTGTGAATTCCGTTGACTACCACCTATTAGGTCATGCGGCAGTCATAGCCAATTGGTTGGAACGGATCCACTTGTCTGGCGTGCGCAGAATCCACGTGACCAAAACAAATTATCTGAGGATGTTTTTAGACTCTTTCCTCTGTATACCCTGCTGAAGCCGATGGCTACCATATTGTGCCAGTGAGCGGCGCCTTCCACAAACATCGAGCAGCTGTGCCGTGTCATGCCTGTCCGTCGGATATTGACGCAGCGTCAACACAGCGTCATCTATTGACCCCGTGTTGACCCGTCCCGATAATGACGGATCGCGGTCGCCATTGGCTCACTCAGCGGCTTCCGCCGTGCCAGCAGCCGCCCTTTGCACGTCCCAGGCCACGACGGCCCGCTCTGGCAGCAGGGACAGCCGCCCGGCCACTTCTTGCCGCGCATCGACCAAGCCGCGGCAGTGTGTCACGCCACGCTGTGAGACGCGGCGGCTGGGACCGCGACGCCGCTCTCGGTGCTATTAATGACAAAGGCTGTTCTACGCGTCACTGTGGTGAAAGGCGCTGCACCTAACCATGGCCGGGGACCGTCGCCAGCCGGGCGCCACGTCGCCGTCAGGGCTGACGCGACGGTGGACACTCACAGTAGGTCTCGCTCAGCAGGCGGTCCATCGTCTCCTGCTTCAGCTTCGAGTTCTTCTTCCCCATGGCTGCGGCGGCGCGGCGGACAGCAGAGCTCGGTCGGAGCGCAGCACGGCGCCGCTCGTCGCTGCACTGACCGTCGGCGGCGGCGGCGGCGGAGGCGGTCCGGGAGCGCGCCTAACCGACACTGCGGCGGTGGCGGTGGCGGCGGCGGCGGCGGCGGCGGCGGCGGCCGACCGGCCGGAGGGGCGCGGCTGCGCGCGGCCGCAGCGGCGCCGCACTGCAGTTCACGGTGCTTGTGCCGGCCAGTGCACGGTACGGCGCGCCGTGCACTGTGCACCTCCCGGCAGAGCCCGATGGCGAGGCGTGCCGTTTACGGCGCCGCGCGTGTTAACTTGCTGTTCACCGCACGGAATGTCGACATGCTGTAAAACACGCAGGGCATACGAAAGTACCGTGACGCGAACACTGTGCAATGTGCCCGCCCACGCCTCTCGTAACTCAAAGCAGCACAATAACTGTGCCACTTTTCACATAAATGCGTTTGTGGCTTCCTTGAGCAGGACTTGTAATTTTAAACAGACTCCATCCGTTGAAAACTAGGTTGCTCGATGTGGCTTTGATGGCAGCCAAAATAACTAGAAAGATCAAGACGTCAAGCTCAATATGAGCCAACGTTCGGCTGCTGTGCACGCGTGTGCTTGCGTGTAATGTCACAAATTATATCATGCATTGTTGATCAAATGCCCGGTATTTGACATAGTTTGTTGGCCAGCAGACAGTAAGTGGTGTGTGGGAACATGCCAGGCTGTCGTTTGAGGTGACCATGTCATGCATGTTGCAGGGCGCGGCGCGGCGCTCATTACCGGGGAGCGTGCTCGCTGCGACCTTTGTGGCGCGGAAGCCATTGAGTCGTGACCAACGAGCGCGACGTGACGGCGCGCCATGATGATTGGTGGCCGTCGGGTTCCCCCGCTTCAAAGGTCATTTCGCAATGCGGTAGCACTGCGATAACATTGCGATGCTATTGAAGAGACAGCAAAGCATACGAAAAGGCAATACCTGCCACCACGAAAGAAGAGCACAATGTAGGGCTGTGCACGGATGACCGAACCGGCAGCGGTGTCAATTTTTTTGTAAATTATGAGGGGGGCCAAACCGAAGGCCTGACAACCTAGCCCCCCATTTTGTCCTTACCGGATTTAGCCCGCTCTATTTTGACCAAACGCATTATATGTTTTTAATCTTTGCACCATTTATAAAAGTATTTAATTTAAGCAGTATAGAGATCATGCAGGGTTGGATCCAGGGAGCAGGTACTGGACGCACGCGTCCCTTCTGATCGGCACGTGAATGCGCCCCTTTAGAGGCCATCTTAGGGCGCCGATGGCGCTCCTCTATGGTGGTTATAGAAGGCAGCATGCATTTTGGTTTTGAGGGACGGGGACGCAGTTCGCCATGAAGGACTTATGTCATCCCCATATTCCAGAGCTTTTTACTTTAGCCTCGCAAACCAATGCGTGTCTTATGGCGCTAGGTGTGTGAAGTTTATCGAACCGTTTATCCGCTCAGCTGTTATGATTTGTATCTTGTGGTGAGAGCGACAATGCCTTTTGGTTGTGAGGATGGTATGAGACGTCAGTTTGCAGAAAGATAAAAAAGACAGTCTTTGTGTGATGATAACCCTTTACCCACGCTTTTTTGTAGTATTCCAGCCAAAAACATTGCGGACCAAGCCAACATTTTAGGGCCCAACTCAACATTGGAGGGGGAGCAGGGCCTTCACAAAAGAATACAAATCGACACCCATGCGAGCCAGAAGTGATTGCGGAGTGCCAACGTCTACAATCTTGCCATGGAAGCGTTTTAGAACGCCGTTTTAGGCCTCAGATTCCGTATGGTAAAAGGTTAAAAGTTGTGATCACCAGCGAAATGTTCTTTGACCAAGCTTATCAGAGTTCACTATCGTGCGCTTCGCAGTTTGGAATGCCTCTGAAAAACTGAGCGGATGCTGCAGTCCGCTTACCCTGGCAAAAGTGAGAACGGCGAAGGATCTGCCGAATGACCAGCATTTTTGGTAAGCACGAGCAGCTCCGAGGGATCGGTACTCCGTGAGGAGACGGCAATGTACAGCAGTGTGCACAAGGTAGTCGGCGGGCCCGAGCCAATGTAAATCAAGTGTTCTAGCACCCTCTTGGCCGTGTTTAACCCCGAAAGCCAGCTACCGTTGGGCAGTTGTCTATTGGTCCGTCACAATGAGCGTACTTTTATGATGGAATTGGGTTTTGTGGGCTCTTCATACCTACACGATATATAGCTCGGTATTGGGGTAGTATGGTTGTGTTGCCTCGTTGGTCAAAACACATTCAGTATTTTTTATACGCATTTATCGATAAATATCTTTCGATATGCGTCAATCCTATTTTAACACATGGTGTTGCACAGTGATTGCTGACATAAATGAGCCGTAATTTGACTTGTGCTGACCAATACATCGCTTTGTCAACAGCTTTGGCATTCGACTGCACTTGAACAAACATCTCACGAGAAAGGAAGACAGGAGCACTCAGAAGAGTGAAGCCATGGGACTCAACCATAGTGAAGGTCATAATATAACAACAAAATCATCGCGTCGAATCGCTACGCAACCAAAAATTGGATTCCATCAAGACCAAGCAGTCAAAAATCGTGTCACCGCTGCCTGTTTACTCACCATACAACAAAACTAATATTGCCTGCCAACCTCGACGATAGTAGAAAATGCTAACGTAATGCAAAAGGCCATTGCAATTCTCACAAGAGCGCATCGTATTGGGTATTATAGTCAAATCCCGTCCGTCTCGCTCGGCATTAATGGCTTCACGGAAAAAATGTGCTTATTGCAGGCTCCGAAGCCATGTAGTATGCTTGTACTGTTACATCATTCCGAAGGACGGAAGCTCAACTATGAGCCTTTCGGTGATATCACAGCTTATGTCCTCCTGACTAGCGACTGCTGAGATTTCTGTTCTTTCGTCAGATAAACTAGCTGCAATTACGTATTTTTTCGAAGCTTGTCTTCAAATGGGCGGAGCGTGGTCACGATGTCATACTATTTGCTTTAAACTGAAACACATTTTTATGGACGATTAACAACAGCGTTGCAGGACTACATAGCAAGTCCAATAGATCAGTATGCGACTCCAAACATGCAAAATTAAAAGCAGTTATCTAATAGGAAGGCCCGTGATTAGGATTTCATGGAGGCTGGAGGTCTAACCTGCCACATGTGGGCAAGAGGTCCACTTTCAATTGAAGTGTTCTGACGTAAGCAATCTACTGATTACCGGCCTATATACTGCCACAGCTCATGATCACGCGTAAGGCCCATGGTATCTAACGCGTACAACACGCCATACAGTGATGTTAGACTATAACGTCTAATGCGATGTGGTCCCGCGTTAACACGCGCCTAGGTGTCCGGTTGAATGCGACGCGGTCGGATTGAGGGTCGGTTTGACCTACCTGAGATCCTAGAAACTAAGAGAGCCTAGAGAATTCAGTACCACAAGGTAGGTGGGCCTGTATAAGAACATGTAGAATTATAGTGACTCTATATCATGACCCTTTGGGTCAAGTAAGGCCAAGCAAGGACAGACACCAGATCCATGCCCGAAGTGCCCTTAGACTTCCTCATGCAATTACCTTTAAGTTAGACACCTTTTCTAAGCAAAAGGTCACCAGTGCTCATTTCGGATCAATGACCTTACTTGATCTTCAGAAGATCACGGTGGTCAAATACCTGCGAGAATGTTTTATCTTGCCTTCTACATAAATGTTAAGGATCACGTTGCACGGTATGTTTCTAAACACCAAATGTTGATCGGGGTCATTTCAGGTCGTTGACGTCCGCAGTCTCTATGAAATCCAAACAAGTTGTCTGTCGACGTCCCTGTGATTAAGAAATTCAAGATGAGCGTAAATACTACCCGCTTAAGCAAGTCCTCTTAAAAATGCAGCTCAGTTTTGACCTTGGTCTGGCGTTCATACCTGCCCTAAGGTCAATGGATTGGTCATGAAGTTCATATTAATGACCTCATTGCTATATTGAGAGTTTTGAAAGTTTTAAATAATTTTTGTTGCATCAATCTTTGGGCACAGCCTATGGGTGCACACAAAACCCAAAGCACACAGGACACCATCAAGGCGCACCAGAGCAAGCGATTGCACAAATGTACAACATTCACACTGAACATAAAGCTTCACAACTTACACGCGCTCATTCCGAAATTGAATGAGCGATGCGACAACGCAAAAAAAACGCAGATTATAAGATACGCCGTGAGGAGTTTTTGTGCAACAAAGGCTCCAGTTGGCGAGTGTAGAGTGATTCGCTCAGGTTTTCCGGTGAGGATGATCCTTGGTTTCTTGCAAAACCAACCTTGAAAAAAGAATTTCACCACGTGAGATCAGCCAGCCATCATGGACTGTGTTGAATGATCGCCATTGGCAATTCAGCAGTTTTATTTTTGAAAGCAAGCATCTGCTCGTTAAATCTTAGTTTAATTTGTCGCTTCGGCTCTCCTCCGAAATAATCGTTTTCACCCTTGATCAAACGCATCGCTCATGACAAGCAATATGCAACGCCAGCCGGCTTCATTTCCCTTTTGAGCCCCTGTGCACACTCACTACACACTCGTCTACCAGAGGAACACTCGAGTTCAGAATAGACGGAATGAACGATCCTGTCTTTCAATGCGTTCTTGTTTCATCATGCCGCTCGCAGGTTAAGTTTTGATTTTTTACGACAGTCGTCTGTTGCGTACATGGTCTCATCGACACAGAGAAGAATGCGACATTCACCGAGATCGCCGGTGATTCCGACTGCCGCCGCCGCTAATGCTGGGATCGCTGATGGCATTGGCGCTCATCGACGGCTTCGCAGTGAAGTCCGTGTAAAATATATGTGTTTTGTGGTCGTTCCCCTCGAACCAATTCTGGATTTGTGACATGAGCGAGAGCTTGTGTCTTGGCTGGACGACACTCTAATGGCCCGCTTGATTCCCAGTCAATGGCGTTCTTCTTTGTTGACATCAGGCTAGATGATGTATGGCGAAGAATTATTACTGAATGACCGAGTTTGTTGCACAGATAGATC